CAGCAAAGTGTTTAAGCACGCTCCTTCTTTCCTGGGGTTCTATTAGGAAGGAAAAATAAGAAAAAAAATGTATGAAAGTGATCCCTTTGCTGCCAAACATTTCTGGATTTTTTTCTTTTCTTGAGTAGGAAAAAAACATTTACCGTGTTCTTTTCTAAAGCAGTTTCCAGGCAGGGCCAGCAAATACAGCCAGGAGCCATCAGCAAACAAGCCCTGACCGAGTTTCTTCGCTTGAGTAAATCAATGTTTTGCCACTAATGTGATCTAAATGCCCATTTTGTGTGCCCCGTTTATTTATTTATTTAGGGGAGGCAGCACCGGGGCAGCTCTCCATAAATCCCACCGAGGCACTCGCCGCTTTCGCTCCCATCCGCTTTTCCGGTGCGTGATGTGCGAATGCATGAGGAGAGCCCCGTCGCCAGCCGGGATCTGCTGTGCCCTCCCCTCTCCCTGCCCGTTTTTCCTCCCTCTCCCAATCTCTGTTCTTTTTTTCAGCAAGGGGTTTTTTTAATTGTGGTAATGGGATGGTGTTGCACGAGCATCTCCTTCAGCCCCGCTGCAGGGTGGGGACGGGGACAGCAGCCCCCCTGCAGCCACTGTTGGATCCCTGGCGAGGGAGGGAGCTTGAGATGAAGCAATTAAAATGCGTGCTTGCCACCAGCATTTCCTGCCTGTAATTAAAGCTTTTAATGAGGAGGCATATGGCAACCCCCCCCCCATCCTGGCCCCAGGCTGGCATTTTGCCAGGTGGGGTTTATTAACGGCTGCTAATTACGCTGGAACATATCATGAAGGAGGGCTGCGTCGCCTGGCCCCCAGCACTCGAACTGGCTCTGAATGCTACACAAAAAGTGCTTTATTTCTCTTTTTTTCCCCCTTGCATTGAAAGCTGAACCCCCCAGGTGTCTGCCAGCCGTTCGGCGGTCCCAGCTCCTTCTTCCGCTCCATCTTCTGTGTGTGGGGGCTGCAAATCCAGCTGCACCTGAGTTTTGCTGACAACCCAACGGTCTCGGTAGCC